TTCATACCAAAGGAAGTGTTTGTAGTTTTCACTTCTTAATGTAACAGATCCCATAATTTAGTAGTAATATGCAATGTTTGTTTGTTTTCTTCTGGTTATAATTAACAGTGATTTTGCCGTCTGTATTATCACAACATGCAAAAAGAAAAAAAACATTATTGTGACAGATATTGCGATGTATTATCATACATTAAATATTTTGTGGTTGTCTCAGTTCATAGTATCTGTTTTTTTCTGAACTTCCTTTATCAAGATGTTATAAAAAGGATAATACCAAGAATAACTCAGAACAAAAGGGGTATAAATACTCTTTAAAATTATGAAAAAGGGGTTTAGGGTGTTGTAAATATCCATAATTGACGCAGCTTTTTGATTTGTATGTCCGTTCAGTGTTTCAAAGTGCAGTTTCAGTTCATGTTTAAAGTGGTGGATATTGGGCTTTCATTCAGACTGTTTACATTTCTGGATCAAAAACCTTCAAAAAGACTCAACATGTCAACAGATCATGTTTTACACAACAAAAATAACATGTCTTTTATGTTTTAATAACCTTAGTAAACCTTTAAGTTAATTTAGAATAAAACAATTTTATATGTATTTNAAGTGTGTTTCCGGCAGTGTATAACCACCTAAAAATAAGAACTGTGTTTGTTACTTTAGAATGAGCCGTTTATCTCAATATATGGAGCGAGTCCTCATCTTTAAAGACCACCATGTTGCACTGCAATGATTCAGTTGTCCAGGAGGGACAGACCAAACACTGGCTCTACTCAAGGCCATTCATGTTATTTCATCGGCTGCCGTAGTACACAGTCCCTCAGTGATGAGAGTCAATAAAGTATTTAACATGAAACTGCTGTATTCGGTGTTTTACTGGTATAACCTGGTTTTGGAAATAAGGAGACCTCTGCGGATAATTCAGGTCACAGTAAAAACCTTGTGAACGTCTGGATCTGAAATAACGTGAGCAGGTGCTGGGCAAAGCGGCCACCTGCGATGTACCAAACAATGAAGGAGAAACACTGATTTGTAATGTGACACTGCTTTATTCAGTGGTTTTATTGGTTTTAACCACATGGTCAGATTGTTTTAGAGACGTAGAGACCTCTGCTGATAATTCAGCTCCTAGTAAAATCCTCCTGAACAATGAACATTGAAGGAATTCTAACCTGGAGGAGTTTCAGCTGGTTGCAATGTGCAATCCTCACCGGTGGATGTCACTAAATCCCTCTCACTCTTACACACTGGACCTTTAAATCTGTGATTGTTTTTAATGGCCAGAGCTCGTGGTATTTGGACAAAAATGATCTGTCGACCCCATGAGTTAGTTTTGTGGGTACCTGGTCATAAACCAAAGGAGTGAGTGAATTAAAAATTTGGCCAGATGATGGCATCATTAGATTTTATCCTCTGGTGATCTTGAATATAGATACAAATGTCCATGGCGGTCCATCCAGTAGTTGTGATATTTCAGTCTGGAGCAAACATGGTGGATTGACAGATTGACTTACATCGTCATACTTGGAGCTACTCTGCTAGCATGGCTAAAAGTGTTTCTTAATATTTCAGTTTTTATTGAGCTTTTATGGTGCGTACATATTACCAAGAAACTGTAGAAGTGATCAGGTGGCCACAAAGTCATTGCAACACAGATAATTTGAGGTCTTTTCGGCCCTTAGTTACTCAACATTCTCCGTTACTAATCCAGCCTTGGCCAGAAGCACTGCTGATTAGTGCAAATTCACACGTGATCTCTTTGTTTATAATTCCCCGCCAAGCAGATTTCTTTAGGTATGAGAGGTGAACGCACACATCTTCACAATAATTCACAGGCTATATCAGAGATTAAATTAGAATAAGTACATCCCTACTGTTTCCTTTTCCCCCTTTTCACTCATCGCACGGCTCTTCACAGAGAAAAGTGGTCGTTTAATCTTGAATATGCCCCAAAGACTCCAAACTGTGATTCAAGAGGATGTTTAGGGGCCCTGAATGGGGCTCGTCTCGTCAACTCTCCCCTTCTGAGTCAGACTAATCCAATATGACTGCTAATTAGATCATTCAAGTGTCTGACACCCTGTCTGCAGCTCGCTAATGCATTACCAATACCTGCCTATACTGTCAGGATGAAGGAGAGCTTCTGTGACGAGACAGGAAATAGGGCAGATGATGGCCTATGACCGATTAGTCGATTGAAAGAAAATAATAAGATAAACTATTTTGATTAGCAATTGTTTCAGTCATTTTTCTAACTCTTTGTCATTTAATGATAGTAAATGAAGAGTCTTTGGCCTATTGGTTGGAAAAAAGAAGCAAATCACTTTGGGCTCTGGAAAATTGTGCTGATCTTTTTTTTTTTGCCATTTTATAGAGTAAACAATTGCCAATAATTACCAATAATTGGCACATTAATTGATAATGAAAATAATCATTAGTTGCAACCCTAGTGTAAAGTCTGGAGCTGCCATAGACAATGAATGAGACTGATTTTTTGGACTTACATGAGTTTTGAAAATGGGCGTAGTTGTAGTTCCCCTTCAAGGTGATCTGTAGTTTTAACCCTTAATACACAGTTTTGCCACCAGGTGGCAGAAGCTATGTTTAAAATACTGCGTAAAAACCATGCAAGTCACTGAATTCTCTGCAACAAGTTCCTGCAAATATTTCACAATAAAATACTTTTTTATAACATGAAAGATTCCCTCCGCCGAAATGATAAGGTGCTTTTAATTTTAAATAGATACAGGAAGTGTTGAGTTCAGGGGCCTCGCTGGCGTAGTGGTTAGAGCATTCGTTCCAGGGTTCGAATTCTGCTGGGGTCAACGTCAGCAAAGGTGTGCAGTTGCAAGAGGTTCCCACCGCCGAATCAAACGGGATCCGATAAATCGCGCCAGCATTTTTCTTTTAAAACTCTGTCAAGGAGGAACAGCACTCATTCTCATTCAAGATCTCAGCTGACACCGTAGGACCGGCGTGTCGGGCTGTATTCGGGCTGATACTGTGTAGTCTGAGCCCAGCGTAAAGTGGAACACAGCCTAAATTATGTGTTATTTCCATGGCCCAGGAGAGTTCAATCAAAATTGAATGAAACAGAAAATGTACCCATAAACTCAGAACGTTCCTCTGGGTGCTCTCAGTGTCACCTGGAACATCTTACACCATTCATCGTCTGTGAAGATTTTACATTTCTTGTGCGTAATTTTACACACATTCTCCCACAGTCAGGCAGATTTGGTGTCTTCTTCTAACACTTTTGGTTCTCCAGTAGAATTTAAAATGAAGGCCTGTGGGTTTAACAGAGGTTTGGCTCTACAGCTGTTAAAGTGGTCACTATGTTGTTTTTTTTCCAACAGTATTTTTATTGATTTTAACAACAATAAACAAAGACATACATGTACATGCTAATGAAAAGGACACCAGAACAAAATCTTGGTACAATCGATGAGTATCAAACACTCATGTAATCCACCCCCACCCCAAAAGTATGACTTTAAAGATAAATAAATAGATAGAATAAAATAAATGATGAATGAATAAATGAGAGAGGAAATAGATAGAGGTTATATTAATGTACAAATTTTGACAATAGATAACTGGTTGTTTTTATACTGACATCATTCAGAGGGATATATTTTAATGGTGTTAGTGATACAGCTTATTGATTGGTCCTTGGCTAATTTACATGAGACATTTATATGAAAGTAAAGTACAGTTACTTTAAGATGATAGGTATCAGGTGTCAAATGTGCTTAGTTACATCTCATCACTGGTGTTAT